GTTCGTCTTTCGCCTGAGGCTTAAGAGTAAAGCCGGGTATTCATTGGGGACAAAATCCCAGAAACTTTGTTTAAAATACGTCCTCATTGGGAACATTTATATGGAGAACTTTTGTATTTATGCAATGTTTCGGAATTTTGTGCGGGCAATGTTCCCTAATGAATACCCGGCTTTATTATACCTGATTTATTTTCAGAGAGTCCATTAGCGTCGTTTCATTTCTTGTTATTTACTTGTTTACATTTAAATGTTTCTGTCTGGCGATATTTGTTTTTGAAAGGCATGTTTTAGGTCATAATTTGTTCCAGCTGTAACTCCTAAGTAAAATATAAAGGCAAAAAATGGAATACTAATAGTTCTCAATCTGAAGTTACCATGAAAACTATAACGGAATTCTTTATCACCCAAGTTTTTCGTTTTGCGGTTGGTAACCATACAGCTGCAAACTAACGAGCAACAGAATTGAATTGGTGACTCTCAAAAACTGGTACTTCATTATTTTTTGCTAATAATGTTACGTTGACTACGAAACCCTATTTGTAGGCATGTTTGACACGCTTTTGGCCGGTATTCATACACTTCCCATCAGAAAAATCGAGACGCTTTGCAACTTTACGTTTTGCACGGATCACATTATCCGAGTCACATGTTTATTTTGGAATGAATATCTAATGTCGTTTAATAGTGAATATTACAAGGTTTCTATATCATAATATCAACGTTCCTAATTCTACTTTTAGTTTCATATATTTAAGATTTTGTTCAACTATGAAAACGAAAGTGTCTCGATTTTTTTGATGGGGAGTATATGATAGGCACCTGTAAGTTTAATTAGGTGTTGTAGATAAATGTGCCCATGCTTCGGGCACATTTAGCCTTCGTCAGTTTCGGTGTTGTGGTCCGCATCAGGGGTTACTGTTTGTATTCTCACATATATGTTCGGGTTCCATCAAATTCATAGTTGAAAAATTAACCTGAACCTGCGACTTTCGGCATCAGTACTGGCGATGCCTCTACCAATTGGGCTACAAAAGAAAAATGCAAGTTTTTTCCTATATTTTTCGTTTCTGCTTCCAGAATGTCCACGAGATCTTCGACAAGCACGCGCTGTACTGCTCGAACGGCACAACGATCACCCTGCGGGAGTTCCAGCGGTTCCTGGTGGTGGAACAGCACGACAAGATGGGCGATGATGAGAAGAAGACATCGCAGTTCATCAGGGACTACCTGAAGGACCCGCAGCGGGACATATATGAACCGTATTTCACTTTGAATGAGGTAAGACCTTAGAGTATACACGATCTAAAAAAATCAACTGCTAATAATTTTAAGAGGTAAAACGGCCCATGAAACTGAACAACTCTCCCCAAGGAACATAAATCAAAATATGTGAAAAAAACATTTACAAATTGACTCGGTCGGCTGGTACATTTTGTATGGGAGGTTCCATTTTTTTTTTAAATCTCTGAAAATATTTGCAGTTGATTTTTTTACACCTTACAGAATAACAAATAAAACTGAAAGAGACTATTATCAAAATAATTAGAGCCGTAGTATTGATCGTGAAAATTACAATTTTATTTTATTGAATTACATTTATGTTTAATCTTAAATAGGGTGAGAAAGGATAGAAGATGATCACGACTAAAATTGTCTTATAAATGTTCTGTATGTCGGACCCACAAATTTTTATTTACAAGCTGAATTTATTCGATTTTGTATTGATTAGGGATTTACATGAATAGTTGTCTGTTGGCGTTTGACCTAGTTTTAAGATTTTATTGCTATGTGGACAAATAATATAGAGCGAGCGAAATTCGAACCCCCGACTTCGCTGTACCGTGCTAATTCTCAAATAACTGAATTATCGTCTAGAATTAGGAATAGCTTGAAGTAGTCTTAATAGGCGAATAGGTAGTGATACACAGTTTTCTAAAATGACACTGAAGTATTTGCCAGACGTGGCGATAACGGCCGTTTTTTGTGGTCATTTACACTCTACCTAACACGTGAGGGACAGTGCGTGATATTATGTATGAAACTGCAGTGAAAATATGTACATTTAAAGCTTCCTCTGCCCTTTATGAATGTGTACGCGAATCCTGAAACCCTTAGTTTATATATAAGCAAGCTATAGAGAGCGCCTTACTGGGTATGAATGGGTGGCACTAGTATGATCACAACCTCTATCTCCATCAGTAGCAAAACAACAGTTCAACTTTATTGAACCTTTAAAGTTTAAAGTTTAAACTTCTCATACATTTCACGTAAGTATCTGTGAATCGTGCCGTGTGGTGCAGGCTTAGAATAGCATCAACCCATATCTTTCCCGTGGGTTTCTTAAGAAGATTGCAATTTTAGGCGACAGACAGGCTGACAACCTGTCTCTATATGGTGATACACAGTCTTCTGAATGACTCTCAAATTTTTGTCAAATGTGGTGTAAATGGCCGTTTTTTACAGCCGTTTGTGCTCTGCCTACCCTGCTAGGGATAAAGGCGTGATATATGTATGTATCTATGGAACTTTTGCGTGAGCTTGACAGTACGGCGCGGGGCGATACGAGCACTTTATAGCTTGCTTATTTATACTCTTATCCCGAAACCCTATGGGTGTTGTGTTTATGTTGTTCCCAGCCGGACGCGAGATATTTGGTTTTCAGATTTGCGATCGTCTCGACGGCGAAATCTTGAATAAAATACATCGATGTGTTATTGCGAATTTTGCATGAATATCGTCCAGTGCTGAAGCAATTATTTACAAGCATAATAAAATGCTGTGACGAATACGTGGGTGAATCTTATTTTTACGGTGTCATAATGAATGAATGAATGTCGTAAATAGCTACTAAGGGATCATCATCTAGGGAATGAGCAGCAGAAATATGTAAATACATCATATGCTTGTATTGTGCTCGCCAATCTGCCTTTCAAGCGTGTTGAGTATAGTATTACCCTCCGATAGAGGGAGACCCATGTACAGCAGTGGATATTTGGGCCTGCATTGACTTGACTATAAAGCTGATGTTTTGTGATGATAGCGTCGATGATATGCCGGCTTAGAATAGCATCATCCCATTTGTATTACAGATATCGTAAAAGTCGACGCAAGAATGAATCTTGGAAAATGGCATAAAATGGCATTTTCCTGTGCATACAACACCTTGCAAAAATTACGAAATCATGTGAATATTAATAATTGCATTTGCGAATAAATAGTCTTATATAGCGTTGTATTGAGTGAAATTTTACTACTGATTGGTGCCGAAAACGCAGGATGGGATGGTGATAAGGAACAACTTTTCCCACGTAAATATTTAGAATCTCTCTTACAAAATTGCCAATCGGTTGATTTTACCTCTATGCGAGGTGCAATATTTTTTTATACGGAACATATTTCGACCTTATGGTCCTTGAGGAAAGTTGTTCATGACCACTATCCTGCATTTTAACTATCGGTGAGTAGTAAAATAATGCCATACTTGTATCTACCATGTAGCACATGGCATTTGCGAATGTTGTGGTTTGGAGCCTTCTATTTGTTTGAAATATGAATTTTAGTATAGCATCCCCCATTTCTTTCGTATCTCGAAGCGAGTAAGGGAGTTGAGGTTTGTTACCTCGCTATAGTGATATACGTTTTTAAAAAACAGTTTTCAAATATTAGTCGGGAGTGCCGACAGCGAGAATTTTTAGTTAATAAAGCCCTGCTTTCTCCGCAAGCGTAGGCTTGCGTGCTACGCGTATATTATTTTTAAATGACTGTCTTGTTATTTAAGTGATAGCATTACCGCATCTCACCGTAAATAGGTGTATATGTATACCAAATTACAGATTAAAATATATTTTTAATATAGACAGAATCACGTGGTGGTAACGACCCGATGAACCCTGGTGTCAGAGTTCTCCAACCGCCTACTACAAGTAGTAGGCCTTTGACATTGTCAATTAGCGAACGACCGTCGTCTACGTGATCATAGACAGCAACCGGAACTAATGGCTTAACGTGCCCTCTGAAGCACGGAACCATCTTTCTGTTTCGGTCAATCAGGCGCTTCAGCCTGCAATGTCCTGACCTGACTGGGAAGAAGAAGACTCGTATTTTACATGGAAACGGTTTAAATCGTCGCGATGTCGCATGTCTCTCGTCTCCGTGTCGTTTCTAACGTCTCGCCTGTGGAGTTAGCACCTAAACAAACAAAGTGGATTAAATAGAGACAGCTGTTATTTAGGCATACGACAACGAAACGGCAGATCATAATAAAATTGGTGTACGTCAGTTATAGTTAGATTGTCTAGATTCTTAATTTCATTTCCTTTGCCTTATTATTTTAGCATCACTTCAGTCTATTGCCCTATGTTAGGCCCTATTCAAATCTGAGCGGTGTCTGCTGTGCATTACCACATCTCGCCAACCTGCCCTTTAGGGACTTAAATGGGTAGGTTGGTGCGTAGGCGATAGAACATGGGTAGATATATCCTGATTGGTATAAATGGGCAAGTTACCCGAGCGATGCCTGTTTTTCGCTTTTTCGCTGTAAAAAAATTACAGCTCTACATGAATTATTAGGACAGCAAACAGGGGAATACGTTTGTATAAAAAACGCCGCTCTGGAATCGTCATATGTAATAATGGTACCTACCGTTAACTGACGTAAATAAAATCCTGCTCAAATATCATATAATATGATAGAGAGGCACACAATAATGTTGCAAATTCGGGATATGTTCTTTATCTGCGCCTATTATACCAGTGCATTTCCATTTCCGCTCAGATTTGAACTGGCTTGTATGTGTGTGTAATAGTTGTCCGCTCTTGCCAACAGTTCGTGGAGATGTTGTTCTCGAAACAGAACTCGATATGGGACAGCAGCCACGACGTCGTCACGCAGGACATGACCAGACCACTCTCGCACTACTGGATCTCCTCCTCGCATAATACGTAAGAATCATAAGTACTATTTTTCCCATAAATAAAAATAATAAATTGAAAAAATGTGACGCAATGACCGGGGCTCGAAACCGGGCCGCATGGGTAAACGCCCCACCGCTCTGCCACTGAGCTATCGATGCACCGATCGATGCCTGCCTCCAAGCGATATCTGGTAATAAAATAAGTACCCAACAAAAACATTCTGTAAAAAACTAGCCAAGTTTCGATCGAGACGCTCCTCTTTCCTCTAAAAAGTAATGAAATCCAGACTAAGTCATGCCAAGTCTAAGGTTCCTTGATGCTATTCCTTTATTATTATAGTTAAAGTTATACGGTTGGCCTTTGATTTGTATCCACAAACATAAAGAATGTTCAACATCAGGGGTCTGTACTCTCCGCGACGCTTTTCCTGCTGCACATCAATGACCTTCTATCTTCAGGAATTGTTGGGTACGCAGATGACAGTACTGTCACCGAGAAATATCTGTCCGGCGCAGGAGCCAGTAGTGATGAAATCCAAAGACTGAGAAAGGCTATGATTGAGCGTACGAGCCTGACGTTAAGTAACGTCTCCCAGTGGGGCGAAGACAATCTCGTCAGCTTCAATGCTTCAAAAACGCAGGCGTGTCTTTTCTCCGCAAAAAGGAGTCCTTTCACCTTTTCTCCTACTTTTCGGGGTACATCTGTTCCAGTGACCAACACTCTTCAACTCCTTGGCATGGAGTTGTCCTCTGACCTCAACTTCGGCACCACCATCGAGTCCAAGGCTCAAATTGCAGCTAGAAAGTTGGGCGTTCTGAATAAAGTCAAGCGGTACTTCACGCCTGAACAGCTTCTAACTCTTTATAAAGCTCAAGTCCGATCTTGCATGGAGTACTGCTGTCACCTTTGGGATGGCTCGGCTAAATACCAACTTGCTGCACTGGATTCGGTGGAACGCAGAGCCAAGAGATTAATAGGCGATAAAAAACTGGTGGCGACCAAGCTTCACAGCCTGGCTCACCGCCGCAAGGTAGCTTGCCTATCGGTCTTCTACAGATTGTACTTCGGAGAGTGTGCGCGTGAGCTGCATGAGCTCATACCACCGTCTCCTTTCTTCCATCGGACATCCAGACGCACGGCCGGCTACCATCCGTTCTTAGTTGATATACCCACATTACGCACTAAGCGCTTCAAATCATCTTTCATTATGCGCACGGCTAAAGAATGGAATTCCCTGCCTGCGTCTGTATTTCCGAGTGCATATAACCTGAATCTCTTTAAGTCTAGAGTGAATAGGCATCTTCTGGGCAAGCTCGCTCCACCGTAGATCCCATCTCTGCTCTAGGTTAAGATTGGGGTCAAGAGTAAGCCCATCATAGATAAAAAAAAAAAAAAAACAGGTATTTAACTTTATTACCTGGTTAATCCACATTATGAACCTAAACCATATGATAAAGTTTAATCAATCTTATCATTAGTACAGCGCACATTTTCAATAATTGATACTCAATTTTTCCATTAACAGATACTTGACCGGCGACCAGTTTTCAAGCGAGTCCTCGCTGGAGGCCTACGTGCGATGCCTCAGGATGGGCTGCCGGTGCATCGAGCTGGACTGCTGGGACGGGCCCGACGGAACCCCCTTCATATACCACGGACACACGCTCACCACCAAGATACGATTCATGGACGTGCTGCGAACCATCAAAGAACACGCATTCGTCACCTCGGATTACCCAGTCATACTATCCATAGAAGACAACTGCTCATTGCCGCAGCAAAGGAAAATGGCGAGCGCTTTTCAGGACGTCTTCGGTGAAATGCTCTTAGGCTACTCCAACGACAAAAACGAAACAGCCCTACCATCCCCGCACGAATTGCGCAGAAAGATCATACTGAAACACAAGAAACTACCCGAAGGCGCCGAGGAGAATTCCTTCGCGGTCCGCCAAGAGGAAGGCAAGGATTTAGACTTGCGGAATTCTATCAAAAACGGCATACTTTTGCTGGAAGATCCGACGGACAACGAGTGGTATCCGCACGCTTTTGTTCTAACCGAAAACAAGTTGTATTACACCGAAAACTATAGCACTCAGGTCGAGACGGACGCGGACAGCGACGGTGAACCAGAAGTTGACAATACGCCTGCTGTACCCCAAGACGAGTTGCATTTCGGCGAATGCTGGTTCCACGGGAAACTAGCCGGCAACCGTCAGGAAGCTGAAGAGCTACTCCAAGCCAACGCCCACTTAGGCGACGGCACATTCTTGGTCAGAGAGAGCGTAACCTTCGTCGGGGACTATTGCCTGTCGTTCTGGCGGCAAGGCAAGGTCAGCCATTGCCGCATCAAGCTGAAGCAAGACCGCGGACTGATCAAGTACTACCTGATAGATTCAGTCTGTTTCGACAGCCTGTACAGTTTGATCACGCATTACAGGCAGCACCCGTTGAGGAGTCAAGTAAGTTTCTTCATCCAACATAGTATAGAATGATGTTGCTTTTTACGTTTCTTTGTCTGTCTGTTATTTACACCTTTAACTCCTAAACCACGCAATGGATTTCGTTGCATCTTTATATAGATATAGTAATTCATTAGGAAGGTTTATATGCTGTGAAAACGATTAGCTGGTGGGGAAAACGATGAGTGAGTGTAACCGCTGATACAGTCCTTTACGCTCTGTCTACTCCGCTAGGGTTATAGGCGTGATATATGTATGTCTGTAACCGCTGATAAAATAATTATACTCCGAAATTAAGCAAATATACTAGCAGTGTCAATCGCAGAAGTCAATCGTACTTAACTTATAATTTGTTTTTATTCATGCGAATGCTGGTATATGGGTGAATAAATTATACTGAGTCAATACACTAAGAAGCATAACCTGCCATCAAAAGTGCGGAAGAAGCTAAATATATTTCTATCACTTTTATCACTACTGAGTATTTTGTGAAACGTTATGTTTCCTTAGGGGTTTTTTTGTGGGTAACATTTTGAAATTACTTACAATGATTTGTGTATCTAGTTTCTTTTCACTTCTATTCTTATTTACTAGCTCTATCTAGGTCTTAGGCAATATTGTGAACGTATGTATTTAAATTTTAGATACGACTCTCCTCTAGTATGTTTTCTCCATAACTGCTAATATCCTTCATCCCTCAGGAGTTCCTGATCACGCTGAAGGAGCCGGTGCCGCAGCCGAAGAAGCACGAGGGCAAGGAGTGGTTCCTGGCGAACTGCACGCGCAGCCACGCCGAGGAGCTATTGCGCAAGGCGAATGTAGATGGCGCCTTCTTAGTGAGGCCCAGCGACAAGGAGAACGGATTCGCCATCTCTTTCAGGTGACTATAGCAAGATAGAGAAGCATTCAGGTGACTATAATGAAGCATTCAGGTGACTATAATGAAGCATTCAGGTGACTATAATGAAGCATTCAGGTGACTATAGTGAAGCATTCAGGTGACTATAATGAAGCATTCAGGTGACTATAATGAAGCATTCAGGTGACTATAATGAAGCATTCAGGTGACTATAATGAAGCATTCAGGTGACTATAATGAAGCATTCAGGTGACTATAATGAAGCATTCAGGTGACTATAATGAAGCATTCAGGTGACTATAATGAAGCATTCAGGTGACTATAATGAAGCATTCAGGTGACTATAATGAAGCATTCAGGTGACTATAGTGAAGCATTCAGGTGACTATAATGAAGCATTCAGGTGACTATAATGAAGCATTCAGGTGACTATAATGAAGCATTCAGGTGACTATAATGAAGCATTCAGGTGACTATAATGAAGCATTCAGGTGACTATAGCTTGATAAAGAAGCACGAGGGCAAGGAGTGGTTCCTGGCGAACTGCACGCGCAGCCACGCCGAGGAGCTATTGCGCAAGGCGAATGTAGATGGCGCCTTCTTAGTGAGGCCCAGCGACAAGGAGAACGGATTCGCCATCTCTTTCAGGTGACTATAGCAAGATAGAGAAGCATTCAGGTGACTATAATGAAGCATTCAGGTGACTATAATGAAGCATTCAGGTGACTATAGCTTGATAAAGAAGCACGAGGGCAAGGAGTGGTTCCTGGCGAACTGCACGCGCAGCCACGCCGAGGAGCTATTGCGCAAGGCGAATGTAGATGGCGCCTTCTTAGTGAGGCCCAGCGACAAGGAGAATGGATTCGCCATCTCTTTCAGGTGAGGCCAAATAGGAGCTTCCACCCCAAGCGAGGCTGCTCTCGTGCTCTTTGCCTCGCGAGGCAAACGACTATAAAATTACATGGTTCACTCGAGGCAACGCTCATGCTTGGGAGAATGCTCCCGGGCCGAGCCAAATTCAACGCGCCTTGCCTTGGGTCCACACGAGCGTATGCTGCGCGAGGCAGTTAGCGCCCGAGCAACCTCGGGCAGTGTGTATGCACCTAATGCCGAACGAAAGAAACTATGGAAGTGTCTGAACGGCTTACAATACTGCCATCTCTAGTCCACACAGGGTGTTTCGTAAAGACGACGTAAAATTTTGGCCTTGGCTAAATGTCTGTCGGTTATGGTCAACCGCATGGTTAGTGATACCACTTACAATAGCATTTTCAAAGAGGGTTGACGTCAGGCAGGCAGCCGGTCATTTAACATTGCCAAATCCTTTTGCTGCCATAATTTTGATCTCTAACTAAACATGTTGCGCTGACCCTAAGTTATTATTGGGATAAGGGCACATTGCCAAATCCTTTTGCTGCCATAATTTTGATCTCTAACTAAACATGTTGCGCCGACCCTAAGTTATTATTGGGATAAGGGCAGGAAAGTAATATTTTAGCATTAATACAGTAATTTTGCTTAGTCTTCTCAGCAAGGGATATAAGAACTTGTTAGTAAAAATCTGATTATAATTCGCAGAACGCAGCGCGAGATAAAGCACTGCCGCATCAAGCAAGAAGGGCGGTTGTACACGATCGGTTCTGTCAAGTTCGAGAGCCTCGTCGAGCTGGTTTACTACTACGAACGGAACCCGCTTTACAAGAAGGTCAAGCTGGAATACCCCATCAGCGAGAACGTCGTCAGCCAGATCATCAGCGTGAGTCACCGTCACCACATTTATACCACCGACGAGTATTGCATGATATATTCACATGTATTGCGAGCGAAGCTAAGCACAATG